TTGATTTCAGTCTCTAGTGGCCAGTGAAGCGGTCCATGCTATTGAGAATACTAATAAAAATACCAGATATACACACGGCAGTGGTTCAGAAAGTTTATGTAAGTATTTCTTCTTAAGATCTTAGGGGACTGTGAGGTACTAAAGAAATTTGTGTTTGGTTTTTCTGTGTGGATTTAATTTTTCTAAGTGGAATCTTTAAACATGGTCCCATGTAAAACAACTGGATTATAACAGTTAGAATTGGAAGCATGATAGCTATGACAGTACTGAACAAGGCTATATTAATACATAAATATACTAAAAAGAAACCAAAATGATACTTAAGAAAGTATGCTCAGTGCTATAGAGTAGGGATTATAGAATTGGTATCACACTAGTTGAGTGAAACAGAAAAAGTCATAAAGGGTCAAAAGAATGTTTAAGATGCCCAGGGCCACCACGTAAGGTTGTGCAGGTTGAACACTGTACAAATCTAGGAATACCATTTACATTAGATGCTTTTTTAGTGGCAACTTGTGTCCAAGAGTATAGCTCATGGCACACTACAGTTGAATGTCCTTTGTTTGTATCACCCTGATGGGAACATGTGTGTGGCAAGCTCTTAACAAATATTTTAAATTAATTTCTGCTGGGAGATATTTGTTGAGGGACTCCTTTGTATCCACAGTGGGATAACAGACAATTTTGCTCTTTTTGAAACTGGAGGGGGAGATGGGAGAAAAGAAACAGAAAATAAGCATGTAACAAGTTGTCAGCAAACTATAACCCATAGGCCAAATCCAGCCCACTGCTTGGTTTTGGATAGCCTGTAAGCTAAGAATGGTTTTTCCATTTCTTAAATGGTTGAAGAAAACCAAAAGAAGAATAAGATTTTGTGACATGTGAAAATTACGTAAAATTCAAATTTCAGTGTCCACAAATAAAGCTTTATCCAAACACAGCCACACTCATTCATTTTCATATTGTCTATATAGCTTTCAGGACAGTGGAATTGAGTAGTTCTAACATAGACTATGTGGCCCTCAAAGCCTAAAATATTAATTATCTGGTCCTTTACAGATAAAGTTCGCTAATCTCCGATGTAAACAATTAAATAGTAAAATATAGTGTAATCCCATTGATAAGTGAACAACATAATATAAGTGTATAGGTTTGAAAATGACTGCCTGAGAGAGAGGCAGCTTAGCTCAGGTGGCCTGGAAAGGTCTTCCTCCGTAGGTGACACGTCTGGGAGACCTACCCAGTAAGTGGCTGCCAAACAAAGGTGTGGGAAAAAACCAGGGAGAGGAAATGGCATGTGAAAAGGCTTTGAAATAATATGTGCCAAGTCCCAGAGTTTCCTTTAACAGGTATGATTTATAGGGGGATAAAAACACATTCATATTAATAATCACATCCATATTATTTTCAATAAATTACTTGAGCATCAAAGGCTCTATTAGTAGAAAGTCCAGAATCTTCCTCTTCCTCCTCAATCATCCCAAATTATCTCAGGACAAACTGAGGCCAGATTGGTCCACGTGGTATCTCTGTCTCTTGCTGTCACTGGTCTATCTCTGCCTTTGCCGACCCAGCTCCTTGCTCTGGGTCACAACTTCCTTTCATAATTCAGAGCTTTCTTGATTCCCATCCTCTCTCTCCTGTTGTTCCCCAAAGCATGACCATAGTGCCTCAGGGCTGGAGACGATTCTAGAGCAACTTCCTGTTTTGATGAAATCATTCCATCTCCAGGCATGCATTCATTCAATACAAATGTGTGTGTGTGTGTGTGTGTGTGTGTGTGTGTGTGTGCGCACGCACGTGTACGTAAATATAAAAAAATTTCTGGAAGAATAAATGCCAAATATTAATAATAGCTATCAGAAATATCTGCTGAATGAATAGCAACTAATCCACTGTTGATGGATATTTTTCAGTACTTCAGTATAAACAGTCCTTCAGTAAACACCTTTGTCATTAATTCAAGTATAGGTATTGGAAGGAGGAAAAACGATCACTTTCCATATTATATGAGTGTCTACCTGGAAAACACAAAAATATTAGTAACAAAGAGTTGAGTAAGGTGGCTGACTATGAACTAAATATAAACGAATCTATAACTTACTTATATACCAAAAACAATCAGGAAGAAAGTGAAATGGAAAAAAGATCCTACTGCCCCCCCAATATACATGTATACACATGCAGACGTGTACATATAGATACATACATACATATATAGATTCATTGTTAAATGTATATATGTGCGCACACAAATCCATATGATCTCTATGAAAAACCTAGAAAACTTTACTGGTGTACATAAATGAAGACAAATAAAAGGAGAAACCCACTATGTTTTTGAGTGGAAAAGCAATACAAAAAAAAGGGCCAGTCATTCTAAATTAGTTTGTATATTTAATGCAGTCCCAATGAACACTTGAATGACTTTGAACTTCATTTGAAAGAATACATTTGGTAGAAGGGCTTGTAAAATTCTGAAAAATAAGATTAATAAGAGAGAATTTGCTCCAACCAAGTATTAAGACACATTATAAACCTGTCGTAGTTGCAGGGGTTTTTTTGTTTTAATTACACTAATTATAAAGACACAAAGAAGCAATTATGGATAAACAAGAAGGTTCAATGTAAAGGAACTGAGCCTGGAAGTGACATCATTAGAAGGGAATAGTGAGTACAGAAAGACACTCATATATAAGATCTAGTATCTCATAAAGAAGGCATTTCAAACAGTTAAGAATGTTAGACATTGTTCAATTAATAGGGTTGGAAAAACTGGTGAGTTACTTAGAAAAAAATTGTACTTAGATTACTAACATGTCTTTCTCCAAAATAAATTCCAGATACATAAAATATTTTAACATAAAAACACTGCCATAAACCAAGTTGAAGGCTAAATGACCAAATAAGAAAAAAAAATTCTCCACATATTATACAGGGCTAATACCACTAATGCTGCTTTTATAAGTAATCTATAAAATGAATCGAGAAGAAAAATGAGCAAAGACAATTGATAAAAATATAAAGATGGTCAATAAATATACCAAAAAATGTTCAACTCACTGATAATCAAACATAAAGACAATTTGATATTATTTTTCACCCACAAAATTGCCAGAAATGTATAATTCACATGGATGGTATGGGAATGGAGCATGGGCATATTCATACCCTGCTAATGGAGGTATAAATCAGTTCAATTCTTTTGAAGGCTGTTTGGCAATGTGCAGCACAACAGCACAACGTGCAGCTCTCCAAATAAATAATTATTAAAATCAATTACATCCAGCTTTACAGAGCAATGCTATGAGATCATTAAAAATGATAAGGTAGGGCTTCCCTGGTGGTGCAGTGGTCAAGAATCCACCTGCCAATGCAGGGGTTATGGGTTCGAGCCCTGGTGCGGGAAGATCCCACATGCCACGGGACAGCTAAGCCTGTACGCCACAACTACTGAGACCATGTGCCACAACTACTGAAGCCCACGTGCCTAGAGCCCATGCTCTGCAACAAGAGAAGCCACCGCAATGAGAAGCCCACGCACCACAACTAGAGAAAGCCCGCGCGCAGCAACGAAGACCCAGTGCAGCCAAAACTTAAAGAAAAAAAATGATAAGGTAGATTTGAACTCATTAATACATAAAGCTGGCCAGGATAGATCATGTTTAGGAATGTTCCTGAATAGCTTGTATAGAATTATCTTATTTATGTAGGAAAAATATTATGTTAAAGTATGCACTGAAAAAGAAAGCACTAGAATATAAATGGTGACCATCACTCCTTGGTAGGGTTATATGGGTAATTTTTATTTTCTTCCTTAACCTGCTTTCCTTCAATCTCTATTTTCTTCCACAAACTTAGATTATTTAATAATCAGAAAAAAGCAAAGCTATTTTCATTTTTAGGGAAAAAAGATCCCATCTTGTTAGTTAACTTGAAACATCTGTATTTCAAAAAGTAATTTCTTTTTTCTTTTTGTAGATCTAGCTCCTGGAGGTTCGGATGACTGGATCCATGACTTGGGCATCAAATATTCGTTTACAATTGAACTTCGAGATACAGGCAGATACGGATTCTTGCTGCCAGAGAGTTACATCAAACCCACTTGTACAGAAGCTTTCGCTGCTGTCTCTGAAATAGCTTGGCATGTCATCAGGAATGTTTAATGCCCTTGATTTTTTCACTCTGTTCCCATATTTTAATTTACTGATTCCAGCCAAACCAAATCTTTGTACCAGTTTCTTTTTAAGTTTTATCAGTTTTCATAAAAGGTTTTCCCATTCCTTGGTTTTGTCAAAGAACAAAATAAATGCTACCTTAAAATTAAGGCAGACAAGGGTTCACATTTCTTTTTCCTTTTTTTTTTTTTTTTTTTGAGAGGCTAGGTACTGATCTTTTTCTTTGATTCGCGACATTTGACTAGACATCTCAAGCAATTGTAATACCTACTTTCATGCATTGCATTGCATCCTGAACAAGAAAAGGAAAGGCTGTCACAAGTACATTAAAGATTTCTGCTCCAAATTTACAGTAAGTTTCTGCTAACGCCTTTAAAAACACACCCGTGCATTCCGTTTGCTCCACTGTAATAGGCGATGGCCGAGAAAGCAGAGGAGTGTGAAAAACAGGACAAATACCGCCTGTCACTCCAGTTCAGCTGCTCAATAAAAACGTTGAGCGAATGAATGCAGGTATCTTCGACAACAAACGTGGCATTTCTGCATATTCACAACAGCTGTCTATTGTAAGAAATTATGTAATAAAAGGAGAAAACGCTTTCTCTTAAATTCACTGTTAATTGGGAACTTTATCTCTCCCGGGGTCCCGGGTTCTTTTCCAGGGCTGGCTCGTTAGGCACAGGTTTTTTGATTTCGACCGCACGCCTAGGAGGCGACGTTACGCCTAGGGGGCGCGTCCACAAAGGGGCGGTGCATACGCGCTGACGACTAATCTGGCAGCCGGAAGCTGCCTCGGTCTACAGAGGAACAGGGCGAACTCTTGACTTCCGGCGGCATTTTGAGGCGATCCTCCTAGCGGCCTGATAGTGTTTTCCTTGTCTTTTCTTACTCTCCAGTCTCTCTTCGTTCCTTTTTTTCCTACGTCCCAGGCTCGCTTGACCCTGGCGAAGCGGCAGGTGGGTTCCGCTCCCCAGCCATCCCGGAGTCCCTCGGTAGCCGAGGACAGGTTCCCGGGAGCCGCGCGCACCTCCTTCTCGCTGTCGTCTTCCCGGGGCCAGGCGCGGGGACAGAGAGTCGCCTCCCCCGCTCCTTGGAGCGGCGGCGGCGGTGCCACCTCCGGACTGCGCTTGCGAAAGGAGCTCAGCGAGGAGGTAAGTTTGAACTCCGTGAATTGGCCTGGGTACCGGGGGAAAGGCGTTGGGTGGGCCCGGGATGGGGAGGCCCCGCTTGTCCTCCATCCCTGCTTGGGTCACGCCGGAATTTTGAGCTCTCCTTGAGCATTCCACCCTTAACTCTGCAATAGATCCCTGTGCTCCTGACTATTTCTCGCCCTGGTTCTGATTCTGGCGAGTTTGCCTAAGGGGGCAAGTGGATTCAGACTGGAGGCTTTGCTGGGTCACTACCATTTGATGTGAGCCTGGGAACTCTTGCGCGGTATTCGCATTGGTATGAGATGGAAGGGTGCCGGAGTATGGTCTTAGATTGAGAAGCTCCCTCTTTACACATTCCAGACCCGTTAGGGAAAGGTATCTTACTTTTGGTTATATTTGGTCTTGGTTATTTCCCGGCAGTGATTACGACGCAGGTGCTCGGAGTTGAGGAGTGCTACTTTATCTTCACAGTCCCTAGGTAGTTACTTTTGGCAACTATCTGTCAGAAACCCGGAAAGGTGAATGAAAGGAGAGGCTCTGATGTTTGGCATTGTCTGTTTCTAAATAGCTTTAAATAATTTATGTGGCTGGAAAATTATTCGGAGTCGATATCACGTGAATGATATCGGTAGGATCTTGTTTGTGGAGCGTAGTGTCGAGCCATTCGGTTATATTCCGAGGTTTTCAGATAATTCGACCTACTTTGAAAATTATGGGCGTACGCAACCTCTTCAGGTTTTTGATTGTTTTGAAGAAATAATTTAAAAGTTTGGAAAAATCTTCACATCTCAAGTTTTCAAAGTTTTGCCAAAAATACTGTTGCAGTAAATCCAAATGCTTATGCAGTACAATCCATGCGTATGTATGTGGTGCCGGTTATCGGAGTCTGGTTCTGCAGTGTTTGAAATTACTGACCTTAGAACCTAAGCGACAGTGTTTTGGACAGTTTTGTGGACATATCTCTAGATTTTCGAATAATTTAGAATTTAATGAAATATTTCGATTATAACATGACAATTTCAAAAAGAGACTAAGCATGTAGGTGCAGGTATGTAGCAATTTGTGTCTAAAAATAGTTGTATTGTGAAACTAGGACTTCTACTGTGAGAATCTGGGAGGATCTAGTTTTTTCAGGTGCATGCCTCTTACGCGCTTCCTAACTATCGGTGATTCGAAAGGAACATTGCGTATTTTAAGATAAGCAAATTTATCTAATTTTCATATTTATAAATTAAAACTAAAATCCCACAGGTGGCTGCTATTTTACTTTCCGTACAAGTTATCAAACATTTAATAAGTTATCGGTGTTAACTTGTAATATGCACTGACATTTACATATAGAAAGCAGTTGTTTAACATTTATTTATAGAATTGGTTTTCAGTAGATTTTAGTCTTTCCTACCTCCCCCAAACCCCGCTCTGCTTTTCATATAGAGTTGAGTTGGAGCTTTTTCAGCAGATATTTAGTAGCAGTTGAAATGTTAACTGGTGTTGCTATATATAAAGTGTCTTCTATTCTTTTTTTGGTCGTTTTGTATGTTGCAATTCTGTTTACTTCACTTTATAGTAGTTGCCAGCATGGGATATTCTCCCTGCATAGTCTTTTTGACAAAATGTATTTTCTGCACAGTGCTACAATATTGCCTTCCTCATACCTGTGTAGTCAGTTTAGTGCTGACGATTCTGTTCTGAATTCAGTTTGAAATTGTTTTAGTCTATCTACATATAAGCAATTGGCAAGATTGTTCAAGAAAGTTCTTTTTTTCTTAAAATATGTTAAGAAAAAATTCTCACTATGCAACAAGTAAACTTAACTGTTTTTCTTTCAAAACTAAGAAATATAAATATGAAGAGGTCTTATTTTTAATATAACACTTTTAATTTTAGGATGCCAGTGGATATTCAGTCTCCTACCAGTTAGTACCAGTAATTATGTAGCTTTAATTGCTTAGTTATTTCAGTTTCCTAATATTATGGTGCTACTTATCCAGATTAAAGTGTTTTATGCTTTCATTTATGCTACCGGAAGATGAGAACTCAAAAAGATGTAATTGTGGATTGCAGTGAGAATACTAGAACTAATAAGTTTTATTGACAAGATTTTAGTAATCAGGATTCAGAAATAATTTAAAAAGAGGCCCCTGTATTTCTCCCTTCTCAGTCATATTTATAGCATGAAGCTATGAGTACATTGTGATATTTGTAAGTTTCCGGGGGAAGGAGGACATTTCCCATTTATTAAGACTTTTTGTTGTGTCTTAATAGATTTAAACTTTGTGTCCCATTATTTTCATTTTCTTTATGCTGCGCGGCTTGTGGGATCTTAGTTCCTCTGACCAGGGATCGAACCTGGGCCCTTGGCAGTGAGAGCTCAGAGTCCTAACCGCTGAACCGCCAGGGAATTCCCTTCATTTTCTTTTTCAGTTGAAAAAATATTAAAACTTCTGGTATTTATTTACTCTACAAATGGAGAGGAGAAATAGGAGAATAACTCAACAGACTTTTACCACTGTCACTCTGGCTTTGCCAATAATGCCCGTGTTTGGGAAAGACATGATAATGTGAGTGGGAGTGTGATGGTTACTTAAAACTAAAGAATAAATTGAAAACTGAGGGAAAGCCTTCAAAGTCTCTGAGATAGGGAAGACTTTAATATTTACATTTTTTGTTATTGTTTCTAATTTTTCTCATATAGTTTGAAGCATTTACTTCTTATTGAAACGTGTTCAGATATTAATTGAAAAAGTTTTCCTCCTCTCATTCAAATCTACATTTTATTCTTTTGTGGTTTATCTTTCTCTTTGGGCCCAAATTTTTAGAGTGAAAATTCTGATCATCATATTAGATGGTAACATAGTTTTAAATTAATATATATGAGCAAATGTTTTCCTCGTGTACTGTAGGTTATGTGTATATATTTAGAAAAATGGGATTTAAAATATTATATTTTGTATTTGCAGGCATAAGGCATTTTATCTGTGCAAAAATCATAAATGTTTCATAATGATATTTAGATAATTTGTTGACTACTGATAGAAGTTCCTAGATAGATGATCAGAAGAATTTCTGTTTCTGTCAATTAGAAAAGTTCAATTTCTACTTTTTCTTTTATTGCCTCAGGGTTTTTTTTTCTTTCTTCTTTTTTCCTGTCTAGGACCTCCCTGTAACCTAGACCTGGTCCTCAAACTCAGTGTCATTTTAGGCCAAGGTCTGACACTGTTGGACTCTCTAAGAAAAGAGAATACGTCTTTACTTCATTGCTGTTCTTCCCTAAGTTGGAAGACTCAACAGTAGCAGAAGTAAAACTCCTGGGATAATCACTATGTAGGTGAATCTTGTAGTTCTTGATGTCACCTGTAAAAGCTACTTTGTCTCTGTTGGAAGGAACTTTTTTAGTGTCAAGAATACAAGTAAAAGGGGCTTCCCTGGTGGCGCAGTGGTTGAGAGTCCGCCTGCCGATGCAGGGGACACGGGGTCGTCCCCCC